TGGCCTCCATCTTTCCCCCACAAAGTTACCACTGAGGTTTTCAGACAGCAGTTCTTGAGGTTTGAGAGAGACTGCCTGTTATAGCATCACTGGGGTGGCTGTGAGGCTCATCCAAACTCACCCAAGTTACTGTAAACTTAAGGAGAAATAGTAAGAAATACTTGTGTGTTAGGCAGGCTCTGCCTTTCACGCTGGACGGAGCAGCTCCCTTTCAGCGGAGCAGCTGTTTCTTTTCTCCCGGGAGAATGGATGCCGTCCAGTCTAGATGACTGCGGAGGGACGTTTTAAAAAACCCCTCAAGACAGTGACTTCAGAAATGACACACTCATCTGAGACTGTAAGTGCAGCTTCCTGGGCTTTACGCGGATCTGAAACTTCAAAACCGTAAATAACGATGAGGGTTTACTGAAACAGAGTGTGCAAAAAAAAAAAAAAAAGGGATTAAACAGAAAAATTAGGACCTTGTAAAATGCCCATATATTTCAACTTCTTATTCCTGAGTGTTGGCCTAAAACATTATCTGCCCATCTGTGATACGTACAAGACCAAGCTTACTGCTCTCTATTTAGGGGCACGGCAGCTCAGACCCCTGAGGTTGACAGTGGACTCTATGACCCCTCTCCAGGGTCCCAGGGTCCCATCTTGGGGTGGAAACTGCAGAATTAAGGTGGAGACATGACTGCATGGCGAAGCTGTGCTGGAGAATGCCAGAGGTCGATTCCAGAAAGCCGTTTCTAGACATTTTATTTTTAAAGACATCAAAGCCTTAAGGTGAAGGAAACGTGTTAGTTTGTCCGCACACCACAGGTGTGAGTGGGATCCAGGTGAGACAATGTGGATGACCTATATCTAAAACGTCCACAGCACAGCATTTAAAACGCTGACTCAGTTTGCCAATCATTTGGGGTCTTTTAGAAAGTTAACGGCTCACCCTCAAATCTATTTAGTTGATTTGACTCTGATTTTGGTAAAAGATTTCTGGCTGGAGAAAATGAAATGTAAAATTAATTTCTAGACTGTCGTTTGTCCACGTCCCCAGTGTTCCTTTGCAGACGTTTGTTACTCCGGTCGGCCAGCGCAGGCTGACTGAAGGGGAGCTCGTCTCGTCTCCAGGGGTGGGGCGGTTGCTCATCGGTCCTCAGGGAAGAGGAGCATCGGGGAACTGAACCACAGCGTCCCCCTAGGGACCCTCCGCGGGCCGCTAGCTCAGCGCCCTGCTTTGGCTACTTCCTTCCCGGCCTTTCCAAAGTGGAGCTCTCTAACCCGGAGGCTGTAGGGCACCTGCTGGCTGTTTCTGGCTCTCCACACCTGAAGCTGGTGGAGAGAACTGGGCCCACCTGGAGAAGAAGTGTAAGCGGTGCAGAGAGGTGATGGCATTTTGGTTTTGCTCTTCCTGAACTTCGATCATGTAAGCCAAAAAAGCAACTTCCTTTTTTGCTAAAGCTGGATTGATTTAGATTTCTATCACTTGCAATCTGAATCCTCAGCTATTTTTAAAAGCATGTATATATACCCCACTTCCCCTCAAAGTATTTTACACGAGCATGCTAAAAGAATTCTTTTGAAAAATAAAAAAATTTTGTAAATAAAATACTTTCAAATTTCTTTTATGTAAATCCAAATTTTTAGGTACTAGATTTTCTTATAGTACACCAGTGTTATCATATACAATTGGAGGGAAACAGTTGTAATACAGTGTAGGCAGAAGTTCTAGTTTTCATATTCAATTTGAACAAACAGAAATGTGTATTAGTCACATAGAGAATTAAATATTTTATTTTAGATAATAAAAATGTTATACCCATTCTAATATATCATAAAGTGTAAGTGAGTATTTGCATAAGTAATAAAAGGATTAAAAATTATTTGGGTTATAATCAGAGGAACATAAGCATAAATCTGTAGAAAGGCATTTTCCCAATAAAATTTCAATAAAAGGCTTAACATTCTTAAACATTTCTTATACATAAAGAATAAATTATTTCTGGTTAATATGTTTTTTGCTTTAGCGGCAGAAAAATCACAACCAGTTTGGTAAATGCATGTTAAAATCCAAGTCTTCTAGACGTGAGTTCTCTGGTACCGTCTGTAAGGTGGCTGTCAGGAACGAGGCCCCAGGCTTAGAGCACAGCAGTAAGGGCAGGGCAGAGACACGCTCGCTGACGCCAACATGGTCAACGGACGGACAGAGGCGGGGGAGAGACCAGGCAGAGGACGGAAGATCCTGTCACCATGTGGGAAAAGCACAAGCTGAGCCCGAGACAGTCCTGCCAGGGTCATGTTCAAGGTGGCTCAGGATTTTGGTTTTTAAAGTGTTCAGAGACAAATTCCAGCAAGATGTCTGGTTTGAGTTGCCAAGCCTTTCTTCTTGAATGTGAGACTTCTCCACCGAGGTACTTGGCACAGTTAAGGGAAGAAATGAATACATTCAGATTTAGTTTTGTCAGATATTAAGCTAGAAAACCAAAAATTCGTGTTTCCTGAAAAGAACCATACACACAAACAGGCTTTGCTTATTAATGGGGCAGGAATGAAGAGGAATTGGAGTTTAGCTCTTTCAAAAAGATAAAGGGCAGGGGAGAGGAGAGAAGAAAGGAGGACTGCAGAGGAACCTTAGGAATGGAGTGATTAATTCAGGAAAAGGAAATACGTTTCTGTCCATTTTGATGGCTTCAGGCATCTGTACTCCAGGCACCTGTGCCTAGAGAGGCGTGTTGTCAGGATCTAGCTAGTTTATTTCCCCACGGGCTAGACACAGATTTTCCTTAAGCTCTGCCCCGCATCTTCCCCCTCCGAATGCTAATGCACAATTTCCTAAAGTGATCTGAACCCTTCCCAGCCGAGCGAGCTCCGAAAGTTGTCACACGGTGTCCTGCACAGCGTGCTCATTGTTCAGATGTCTAGGCCCACAGTGAAAAGAGGACACTTGTGTTTTTGGCTCACGTGCTTTTCAAATAGAGTACGTTTGACTGAACAAAGGGAACATCGCCCTGGACCCTCCTAACCTCCGTAGAAGCATGCAATCCCTCCATCGGAAGGAGAGCTCACTGTGCCTGAGGCGGAGGGGAAGGCTGCTGTGCACTGCGAAGAAGGCACTCCACAGCAAAATCAATGGCCCAAATGAAGTGATGGGCTGATGCAGCCCACTATCACCAGTAGGAATGTCATTTGGAATACTTTTGGCAGATGAAAGAAATGTCACTCCACTGAATGCTACTTTAAAAATATTTTACCAGGATATAAGGTCACTTTGCTGTTCTTAACCTACGCAATTTAGTGTTTGGTTTGAAACGTAAATATGTTCAGGACTTTCTCCCTTGGGTGTTCTTTATTTTGGAGGAGTGTCTGCATTCAAAGCCTTTTCTCTAAGCTCTACTAACCCAAGTTATAGCTACATTAAGTAGTTGCAAATGTGGTCTTAATGGGATGTCATTTACTTAAGCCTTTAATACTTAAGGCAATTGCTAAATGTGCAGTCCGTTCTGGGGATCCTTCTCTGAAAGGGGAAGAATACAGTGATAACATATTTTAGGAAGCAGCTAAGGTAATTTTGGATCTAGTTGAAAAAGATTAAATTATTCACTTTGAAACTGTTATCACTAATGCAAAAGTACCTGATTTCCACACTTACTTGGAATTCAGAATCTGTGCTACACAAGTGTTTTTAAAAAGGTAGAGACTTACACTTCCCAAAGTTCAGAAATGATATCCACAGGACAAAGGTAACTTTCTTGCCAGTGTGGCTGGAACAGTGACAATGGGTGTTTATTCCACCAGTCTGATCAGGTAGTCCCTGAGTAGCTTCTCCACTGTACCAGACTATGTACATGTGTGCGTGTGGAGACAGACAGAAAGGGGCCTGTCAATGTCATCATTTCTAAAATGCCATCATTTCTCCTACGTGCCATTCAAATAAGAGAAGGTGCTTTTCCAAAATAACCCCAGTTGTGTCTAGGAATTTATTTGTTTTAAATATAGAGGAAGGGTAGGTTTGAGAATATCTTTAACAACTAAAGAAATCAGCCTAAATTTAGATGCTACTTGGCATGACAGTTCTCCAATTTTGAAAGCATACAATCTGAGCTTGTAATGGGCAAAGGCACATTCATTAAAGACATCTCTAAAAAGTGCATACACTATCTAAATACCTAAATGTTGCTCCAGAAGGAAAACAGATGGCCTCCCTTGTATAAAAGGCAGAAGACCAGAAGGAAGAAGACTCCATCCCACAAACTGAAGTAGATGTCCACACCAAGAACCTGCAAGTTTTCTAGGCAGGCAATGGAGCATTATGATAGCTCTCAAATTATGAGGGAGGGGAAGAAGGACCAGGTGGGTGGGAGAGAGGGAGGGAGGAAAAGAAATCTAGAGGTACAAGAGTCCCCATTACAATTACAACACTTCATTAGGCAACAACATTTTCTAGCTGGAAGGCACATAAAAAATAACCATAACAGTAACTTACTAAGACAATGGAAATTAAAAGAAAAAATCATCCTTTGGCTGTAAAGCACAGTGTGTCATTAACAAACCAACCAGAGAGCTGAAACAGAACTCGAACACAGGGACCACAGATGCTAGGACTGGGCAGAGGTGAAGAGGATTCATTGCTCTTGGTTTAGTTTCAGTGGTTCTTCAGCATTCAGTAAAGCCAATGGGTCTTTTAAATGGGGACTCCAAATCCTCTGTGTGACAAAATATTTACAACTGTCCAGTTATACAAATATTGACTGTTGGTATGTCCCACAGGTTAGGCCAAGCTCACCGATCCAGCTGGGTGGAGTCCTCCGTGTGCCGTCCACCACCACTCAGTGTCATCAAGTCAACCAAAGAGAGATGACAAAAGGAGCAATTACAAAACTCCTGGCTCCTTTGCCTGGGTTATAGGTCCATAATTTGCACAAAATAAATAACACGCATTAAATAAAAATCGGTGTTAAAAGTTGAAATGAGGGGGAAAAGCACAATCTGGTATTCTCAAGGCAAAACAATAGAGATCTCTTTAAATAGACACTTCATTATATCCACAGGCGATAAAATCCCAGAGCTACTGTAAGACATGTAAATACAGACCCTGTAAGAAAATAATAATTGAGCACAGTATTAGTTATATTAGCAGTTACTTGAGGGAACATCTTTGTCTTAAGAAAACAGAGACACTTATCCACCTATCACACACACTAGGAAACTTGTTCACTGACGTGCCACATTCCATGAAACATCTGCCCATAGAAAAAGGCCACACCTTGAAATCATCATCTTCAAAGTACACATGTATACACTATTCAAGAAAACTTTTCAATGTGACTTTAGAATTACAAAAAGTCTGTGGTCACAAAGCACATGTCTTGTACAGGGCTGTGTGCCTTTAACTTAATGAGCAAAACTTCACTTCTTTTTTTTAAAAATATGTTTTTATTGATTTTTTTTAGAGAGAGGGGGAGAGAGAACATCGATGTGAGCAACATGGATCGGCTGCCTCCTGCCCACCCCCTACTGGGGATCTAGCCTGAAACCCCTGCATGTGCCCTGACCGGGAATTGAACCGGGACCTCTCAGTCCACGGGATGGCGCTCAATCCACTGAGCCACACTGGCCAGGCCAAAATTTCACTTCTTAATACTATTGTAACTTTAAAATATTGATTAACACAAAATACTAAATTTGAGTTAAAATAATGGCTAATTTTTTTGTACCTGAATCTTTATTCCCCCTTTTGGCTCAAAAATTGCAAATAACTCCTTATGAAGAGGGTCACCAATTGAAGCAGAAAGATCCCAACTCAAGAGACTTTCATTCTATTTATCAAATATTCTGTCTTGAATTTCACTTAAAAAAATTTAAATAACTAGATGAAACTATAGTATGATTATCCATTGGAAGAGGGATGCTTGCCAATTTCAAAGATATTAAAATATGAAAAAATATGTTAGAATCAATGAAATGCAATATGTCTGACTTATTTTATACATTTTATTTTATTTGCAGCTTGTTTTAACTACATAGATACAAAGCAGCTTACCTGCTAAATATTTAATATTGTCAAGCTTGTGCGACTCGAGCATGGTTTTGAGGCCAGCAACCTCGGTGTCTATCTTCCTGTCTGTCTGGGTGACAGCTCGGTCTTGCTGGGCGTGCTTTCAAAACAAAGAGATTCACAGCATTATACCACTTGGGATATACTCCCCTCGCTGTCAGTCCTGAGAGTTCCTCCCAATAGGTGCAGACAAGGGGCACAGGGCTAAGATTAAGGAGACCTGGGCTTTAATCTTAGTTCTGCTAACCTCGTGCTATGTTGCGTTGGTCAGGGCCTTTAGTACATTTAGGCCTGTTTTCTTCTGTTTGAAAAAAGGAAGAAAAAAAAAATACCATTAGCCCTTCCTCCACACAGGCTGTGTAGAGAATCCAATGCGATAATCTATGTAAAAAAGCTTTTGTACATTATTGATTGCTCTATAAGTAAGGTTAACATTATGAAGCCAGTCTGTTCTCAAAAGCAATGAGTATGCCCCATCTTTCTAAATTCCCCTAATGAAAGGTATAAAAAAAGCTTTAAAAAAACAAAGAACAGAATCTTGGATAATCAAAAAGCAACACTGCTTGCCTTGATACTATTTCTATTCACATTTTGAAAAGTTTCCTTCTTTTACAGTTCAAACACCAAGTGTTCTATTATGAGGCTTGGTTATACCAAAGGCCTATTTGTGTTCTTTCCCAAATATAATACAGTTAAACCAGATACATAATTCTCACAAAGGGTGGTGAGTTTGGCTGTTATAAAGGGGTTGACATATTTCATTAATGCATCAAAGCACTGGCAATGTTTCACTAAAAATTCTAGGCAAGTACACAGTTCCCTATGGCTAACAATTCAGGTAATGAATGAGAAAATAAATGCCTGGATGAACAGAAAAGTATTACAGAGGAATATTCAATATTCTCTCATGGAAGTCTCTCGTAGATTTCAGAGGTCCCAGGTAATACAGGATGGAAGAGAAGTAAATGCATGCCATAAGTTAAAAATACAATTAAAAAAAAATCTATGTCCATTCCTTATTATTCTTCAATCACTGAGATTTAAACTTTTATTAAGATAATCAGGTATTTGGTTAAGTACAAAAAAATCCTATGATACTCCACTTCCAGGTATACAGTCAAAAACTTGAAAACAGGGACTCCAGCAGATATTTGCACCCGCATGTTCATAGCGGCATTATTCCCAACAGCCACCAGGTGGTAGCATCCCAACTGTCCAGAGACAGGAATATCAAAATGTGGTGTATCCATCCAATTGAATATTGTTCAGCTTTAACAAGGAAGGAAATTCTGACACATGCTACATCATGGATGAACCTTGAGGACATTATGCTAAGTGAAAATAAGCTAGAGACAAAAGGACAAATACTGTATGATTCCACTTATATGAGGTTCCTAGATTAGTCAAATTCAGACAGAAAGCAGAATGGTGGTTGCCAGGAGCTGGGGGATTTATTGTTTAATGGGGAGAACTTCAGTTTTACAAGATGAAAAGAGTTCTTTAGATGGATGGTAGTGATGGTGGCATGATAATGTCAATGCACTAAATTACTAAACTACACACTTAAAATAGTAATGTTTATGTGTATTTTACCACAATTTAAAAAATCCTATGACACTAAACCTGCACATATTTTCTTATAACACATCACTACAAATAGCAATAATGATGCACGGGATGAAGCAGAGACAAATAAAATGACCAAGAAAAGTCAGTCTCATTTCTTACCAATGCCACCATTTCTGTCCTCATTTCCAGCAGCTTCCTTTCGTTTAATGAATACTGAAACAGACACGTCACAAAGGTCAGATTCTGATCTCTCTCTCTCTCTCCCCTTCTCTAATGTCTTAAATATTCTGGACTCACTACTTCCAAGAATATGTACCACTAGAAATTGCCTCCAGGATGAAGTAGCCTACTTGACCCTCTTCTTGAGATCTGTTTTTTGAGGTTCCTTATTTATATTCACTCATCGCTCCAATATCTGGGTTCTGTTTTGCCAGCCTTCACCTTTCTCTCTGCTGTTTTTCTCTTTTCATCTCTTCGCTGTGATGTCTCTAGGTCCCTCCCACTATTATACCAGCCTTCTCTGGGACCAATGTAGATGGATGCTGAGTCATACACATTTTGGCTTTGATAAGAGAGAGTTGAAAAAGTCAGGAATAATTCCAGTTAGTGGCTATCCCATCACAACTACAATCAAAACTTGAAACAGACAAAAGATATAAAGTTGGGAATGAATAGTTTCAAGGAATATTATTCTGTGACATAGATGCTGCCTTGTGATTATAAACAATGTAAATACAAGAAATATACTATATCATCACATTTAATTTAAAACAAACAAACAAATCCACTTCGGCATAGTCATAATCCAGTGTTACTAAAGGAACTAACTAGTTCTACCCAGAATTAAAATTGTATCTTGCCTTAGGCGATAATGTTCGTGCAAATATTTAGTATAATTTTGTTGACACTGAGACCAAAATCAGATATATTTCCTTAGTAGTGGGCATTAGGATTTAATTGAACAAATGTAAATCTATAAGTGAAGAATTAAACATTTTTCACTAAAAATTGTTATAGGGGAAAATAATATTTTGAAATATCTATAAACTTTCTAGCTATAAAAATTTCCCGTGTCTACATAAAACAGCATTGCTTGCCCTGGCTGGTTTGGCTTAGTGGTTAGAGCGTTGGCTCGCAGACTAATGAGTCGTGGGTTCAATTCCAGTCAAGGGCACGTACCTCGGTTGCTGTTCGTTCCAGCCTGATTGGGTCATGTGGGAAGCAACCAAGTGATGTGGCTCTATCACGTCGATGTTTCTCTCTGTCTCTCCCTCCCTCACTCCCTCCCACTTTATCTGATGATAAATAGAAAAGCATCCTCGGGTGAGGAATAAAAAACAAAAACAAAAAACAAGCATTGCTTGTAAATTAAAAGAGAAGAAGACGTCCCCAAATCCCAAAGTAAGGACTAGTTACAGTACCAAAGAATGCTCATCTCTGTCTTTAAATGTCAGGCCTTCAGACTAGGAGAGAGCTATTCATCAGATCACCACCAGAGGGCAGGGGGGAACTGGATTTTCTTCACACCTTTAAACTCTGGCCTTCAGTAAGTCAATCAATATTGGATTCAGCCAACAGAAAAACAAAAACAAAAACACATCTTGATATTGTCATGAATTTAAAAAATAAATTCCTGCATCCCAAAACAGTTTAGAGGCCATACTACTTTTGAAACTGGCTGTAAATATCACTAGTTAATGAAATTGGCACATTACAACTTTATTAAACAAGGTCAAATGACTCACCTTCATCAATGCATGCTAAATACACAGTAGCTACGTAGTAATACACTACTGCCCTGCACTCTGGAGTAATCTCAGTTTAGAACTACCAAGAATAACTTCTCAGCTGGTTGGTAAATCACATAAATTCATTGGTTTTAATCCAGTCTCACATCCCATATTTCCCAACCTTCTAGGTGTATGTCTTTCCAGCTTGGGTGACAACAGGCAGCATCTGGATCAGGGGAATTTAGCCCTGGCTGGGTAGTTCAGTTGGTTAGAGCATCATCCCCATACGCCAAGGTGTTAGGATTGATCCCCGATCAGTGCACATCCAAGAATCAACCAATAAATGCATGAATATGTGAAACAACAAATCTATGTTTCTCTGTCTCTCTCTGTCTCTCTCTACTCCTTTCCTCCCTCTCTAAAACAATAAAAAAAAAAAAACTTTAAAAAGTGAATTCAGAATTTTGCTAAGTACACAAACCATAAGAACAAAGGTAACCAAAAGAGTTTCTCCTCTTCTAAATACTAGTCATATGCTAGTGATCACTAAGTGATTTAATCTTTATGGTTGAAAAGTGTTTTAAGACCAGAAAGACAGCCCTGGCCGGTTTGGCTCAGCAGTTAGAGCGCTGGCCTGCAGTCCGGAGAGACCTGGGTTCGGTTCCCGCTAAGGGCACGTACCTCGGTTGCAGTTTGTCCCCGGTCCTGGTAGGTCGTGCGGGTGGCAGCCACTCGATGTGTCCCTTTCACATCGATGTTTCTCTCTCTCTCTCTGTTCCTCTCTCTCCCTCCCACTCTACCTGAACAAAAAAATGGGAAAATGTCCTCGGGTGAGGATAAAACAAAAACAAAAACAAAAACAAAAAAAAACCCCCAGAAAGACAGGTAATATGAACATAATAATTATTTGGTATAACAAAGTTCAGCTTAACTCTTGAATCCAGAGGCAGTTCCAAAATATAGTCAAGTACCTGTTTGCATTTCAATATCAGTTTCATTTATCATCCATCATAGCAAATTTTGGTTAAAAACAAACTGTGAAAAATGAGAAGACAATGAACAATTGTGAGTACTGGGTTTCTGAACATGTATCCATTTCTATGTTAGTGAAAAATGCTTTATATGCTCCATTGCTCATTATGCTAATAGAAAAGGTATCTACCCAATGTTGTCAAATCTAAATAAAGCCTGAATAAGTAGATGGGTTAAAAATCAGAGGCAACCCAACACATAAAGATTAAAACATACAACTTTTTGCACCCCTATGTTCATAGCAGCATTTACAATAGCCAAGGCATGGAAGCAACTAAAATCCATTCATGGGTGAATAGATAAAGAAAATATGAGATATATAGTATATATATCAAATGAAATATTATTCTGCCATAAAAAAGAAGAAAAAATATCACCATTGCGACAGCATGGATGAACCTTGGGAGCATTATGCTAAGTGAAATTAGACAGAGAGGCAAATACTGTATGATCTCACTAATATGTGAAATTAAAAAAACAAAAACAAGAAACCCCAGGAGCTCACAGATAATGAGAACAGATAGATGATTGCCAGAGGAGAGAGATGGAGGATAAGCAAAATGGGTCAAGTGGGTAAGGTACACATTTGCAGTTCAAATGTAAGTCTTGGGTATGTAATGTACCACATGGCAACTAGAGTTAATAATACTTTACTGTATACAGTATTAGAAAGCTGCTAACAGAGTAAATCTGAATAGTTCTTATAACAAGAAAAAATTTCTTAACTTTGTAATAAGATAATGGATATTAACCAGACTTACTGTGGTGATCATTTTGCAACATATAAATAAATATCAAATTATTATGTTGTACACCTGAAACTAATATGTCAGTTATATCTCAATTTAAAAAAAGTGTTACTGTGAAAGCTCTGAGGGAAAACATACTGTATTTCTACGCACTGTCTTCGAAAAGGCAAGGGCAACAGAGCTGTATTTCCAGTTTTCGTAGTTCCTGTGCACGACCCCTTTGGTGATCTCTTTTTGGTAACAAATGTGCAGCACTACTTTTCCTAATTAAAAGTTTCAATTTAACATAACTCACTCATTTAGAATTTGCATTTTAAAACAATGCAGTAAATGTAGCTGGTTTTCTCAGTGGTTAGAACGTCGGCCCGTGGACCACTGAGTCGTGGATTCAATTCCGGTCAAGGGCACGTATCTCAGTTGCAATTTGTCCCTGGCCCTGGTTGGGGTCACGCGGGAGGCAGCCACTCGATGTATCCCTTTCACAACGGTGTTTCTCTTTGTCTCTCTCTCCCACTCTATCTGAACAAAAAATAGAAAAATGTCCTCAGGTGAGGATAAAAATAAATAAATAAATAAAACAATGCAGTAAAGTCATTAAGATTTCTCTATTTAAGGAAAAGATAATAGGGAAATATTTTTTAAATCTTAAATTTTGGTATAAAATTTAATATTAATAATTTAATATTATTCAAGTCAGATAATCAACTTAACTTTTGTAAATTAGGACCTGTACAGGTTTAAGTCAGACTGAAATAGATCAAGACTGAGTTTAATTTATTAATGTCTAAGTGATACATAAACAAAAAAAGATCCAAACTTATTTGACCAATATTTTAAAGTTTTAAACTTTACATTTAAAGTGTTTTATTGTTGTTGTTCTTTTAGACAGAGGAAGGAAGAGAGGGAGAGAGAAACACTGATCAGTTGCTTCTAATATACACCCTGCAGGGGTCTCAAACACCTAGGAGTGTGGCCTGACCAGGATTTGAACTGCCACCTCTTTGTACAGGACAATGCTCCAACCAACTGAGCCACACTGGCCAGGGCAAGATTTTAATTTTAATGTTACTTATGAAAGCATCAAATTAAAGCTCTAATCCAAAATATAATTAAAATAAAGAAAAAATTGTCTAACAATAATATACAGGTGAGTATTTAACAGTACTTGTGAACTGCATATAAACTTAGACTTGACCAATCACTCCATCCTGCAAGAATTTAACTCGTACTCTATTTTTAATAAAGGAACATACCAGTTCTTTTACTCTGCTCTTTTCTAGATTGAAGTCTAATTTGGTATCTGTTCGGACTTTGAGCACTTCATCCTAGTAGGAGGGCAAACAACAAAGAAAGAAAGAAATCCAAAGTAAGAAATCCAAACCCACCGTGTGTGAAGCCCAGGAAAGCTGCCTCCACAGCTTCTAGGTAAGGCTGCAGCCCAGGGAAGGGGCAGCACAGGGACTCACATAGCTGGGGACCAGGGACTGGGGAGACTCTGGCCAATCCATGTCTGGACTCAGCCCTGTTTTGGGACTTCCCAGTTATATACACAAATAATTCCCTTTTATGCTTAAATTAACCCAGAGTGAGTGAGTCACTGTTGCCTTTAACCTCAAGATTCCCAAGATAATATCCTTGTGGAATTTATGATTAATGCTGTTTCTTAGACAACTTTGGAAAGCAGAAATGGACTCAAAGAAGTAAAATATTACATTCTTGCTTAAATAAAGCCTTCTTTCTTACTCATCAATGTCCTTGACACTTAAAAACATCAAACAACTGGTACAATGCTAAGCATTTTAAAATCAAATTCTCTAAAGATACTCTCTTCTAAGAGAATAAAAAGGTTCTTAATGGATACTTCAGAGATTTTTTAAAATCTGAAAATGACTTAATTCCTCCTAGAACACAATTTTCTTAATGAATTTGGTTACACACATCAGTAATTTATTCATTGGCTGTGCTCTTAGCTAAATCTTTCAATGTGTACTTTTGAGATATATTATACAAACATCTAACATAGAATTAAGTTTTTAAGGACATACAAAGTATTTCTGACATGCTATTTATTATTAAGCTTAGGTAATTATAAACAAGCAAACAAACAGGATTGAGGATCTTACCATTATTTGTTGTTTTAACTGATGTAGTTCAAGTTTTACTTTCTAAAAACACATTAAAAAGAGACAAGTCAAGGATATGTTTAGAAGGTTAGAAGAAAAATAAAACTTGGTAATAAATTAGCATCAGAACATGTATTTATGCACAAGTTCTTCCCTCCTTCAACGTGAAGATGGCTACATTCAGAATACAACATCAACGGAACAGTCTCTGGAGGAGACGTCATCACTGTCGTGCCTGGATGGTATAATTTTTTTTAACATATACATTTGCCATCAGAGACCTTGCTTTCTTTAGTACCTCCTTTAATTTTTCTCTTAACTAAATGCCCTCAAACAGCTGACTTCAAGGACAATTGTGAGAGTTTCAGACTTTATCTTTTTCTAGCAATCTTTGCCAGAAGATTTCTTGTAAGACTAGGACTATCAAATAGGTAATAAATGAACTTCCTTTATGGGATTCTAATAGGACTAAAAACTCAAGGAAGATGCAAAGCATTCAGACACTGACCCTATATGTCACACTTCAAGAAACTAAGGGCTATTTTACAGCTGCATTTATTCATAATAACCAAACATTGGAAACAATTCTAATATGCATCACAGTAGGTTAATGTGGCATATTCATATGGCACCACAGACAATAAAGAATAACCTACTGCAGCAAGATACACTGACGATCCCATCAGTTCAAGTTCTAGAATAGGCAAAATCAGTCAATGGTGATAGAACCCAAGACAGTGGTCACCTGCGTGGGAGGAGTGACCAGAAGGGGCGGAAGCAGGCCTTCTGGGGTGCTGGTAATGTTCTACTTCTTGATCCAACTGGTAGTGTACATTTTGTGAAGATTCATAGAGATGTTCACTTACTTGTGCACTTCTGTGTGTGTATATCTCAATGTCTGAATAGAGAGCATTTTATAAGGATAAGTGGCTGTTTAGTTTTACCTCATTTTCTGCTCTGAGGGCTGAAAATTCACTCTTCTCCAAAATAATCATATCTTTTTTCACATTAGAAATCTGAGACATTATTTGCTGAAGAGTGATCTCCTAGGAAAAGGAAAACAAAACATATAACCTAGTCTTGTCTAGGAAGCACAGCTCCCATGGTCTCTACCTGGTATCACCTTAATGGGACTAGTGTGAACACAAGAAAACAGGTTCAGCAAGGTCACCCTCTACTCCAAAATGAGAAAAGGAAAAGAATACAAAGTCAAGTCCATTACCATTATCTAGTGAATCACAGTTAAAAGGGTGGCAGTCTGCGGACCAGTGGCTCAAAAACACACTATTAATTCTGGCCACACCTCCATTTATTAAACATGGTGGACTGAAACAGTTTTTAAGCATACAGACTTTCCAAGCATGGTGAATTTCAAGCATAATGATTCCGTAAGAGTTCACTAAATAGCTTTGAATAAATACTTTTTATGCCACTGTAATAATTTGCCTCTCAACTATGGTTAAAATCAACTATATCCTTTTCAACAGAACATTATCAAAAATATATATTATAAATGACATCTTCCTTTTAGATTTCAGATTTACGAAAGTGCCCTGACAAAGCTTACCTGTTGCATCTTGGTGACCATGTTTTTATAAACAATATCCATGTTGGTCTCTGTGATCTTGACCAATGAGGATACAATGATTTCTGCTTGTTGAGTAGTAAACCCTAAGCAAACACACGAAGATAATCATACTCAGGGGACTCTAGTTGTCAACAAAGAAAAAAAAATCTTCATAGAAAGGGAGAAAACACAAACTTACACACTGAGGGGAATGTCTGAATTCAAGAAGCAGGTAGAAAGCCTGTGGCAGAAGGATGAGGAGTCTATGGTCACAGGCTATGATGTGTCTGTCTGTCACTCAGGACAAGTCACATCTGTCTGTTTCCTCAAGTAAAATGAGCAGTCGGGCTAACTGCTCTCTAATGTCCTTCCTAGGTGTCAAAAATCATGTTTTCAGAGAATGTCTAATTTTTATTTTCTTCATGGATGTGACTTCCTTAATTTGAAAATGTATATAGTAGTAAAAAAAAATTTACTTAAGTAGAAAAGCTCATTTATTTTATATCCAGCATAAGTTAAATTATTGACTACAGAAATTGTAATTTAGCTGTTAGTTAATTTAATGTGCAAAGACAGTTAATGCTAAAATCAGTTTTTTGTTTTTCCTCCACAATTATCTTTAGTCACTAAGATGGGGGCCCAAACTGGAAAAAAATATTCTTTCATACTCAATAAATGATGCTGAATTGAATTATATTAAGATTCAACTTGGCAGTATTACTGTTTTTAATAACTTTACATAGTAATTTATATATATATATATTTTTTTTATCCTCACCCGAGGACATTTTTCCATTTTTTGTTCAGGTAGAGTGGGAGGGAGAAAGAGGAACAGAGAGAGAGAGAGAAACATCGATGTGAAAGGAACACATCGAGTGGCTGCCACCCGCACAACCGACCAGGGCTGGGGACAAACTGCAACCGAGGTACGCGCCCTTAGCGGGAACCGAACCCGGGTCTCTCAGGACCGCAGGCCGACGCTCTAACCGCTGAGCCAAACCGGCCAGGGCAGTAATTTATATTTCACATTGAAAATTATAATACAATGCTTAAAACCAGGTCCCTGGAAAGTAATTCTTTCTATTAAATATGTCCATCTATAAGAATTTCAAAAGAATCTATTGACTCTTGTAAGTAATTAATGGCACATTTGCTTGAATAAAGTTATAGATGATATAATCTGAATGACATCATGCATGAGACTATCATTTAAAAAAAAAAGAAAAACAAGGCACAGACTTAAAGGAGACAAAAAGACCTTCTAAGACCTACTCCCTTCACTTAATTAAAAATCCTTTAATTTTCGACGTGGAGGTCATGCACATCTAGAAAAATCACCCAAAAGGTTACCCACCAAAATGTTAATAGTGGTTAGCCCTGGGACATTGAAATTCAGAATAATTTTTCGTGTTTCTTTTCTGCCTTCCTAATTTTTTGAAAATAAACATGTTTTTCTCAATTTTTAAAATTTTAAGAGAAATTCATAGTTACACATAATGAGATTTGGCAATTATGAAGAAAAGAAAAATAGAGACTGAAAAGGAACTTATGCTGACAGTAACAAACAAACTCCAGAGCCTTACAATTTAACAAGCACCTGTGGAAGGTGAAAGAGGATAAGGAAACGCAGAAGCCTGAAAATCTGCTGAGTTACTAGATGCAAATTATTTTTTTTGTAGGAATGAGAGAACAAAGCATATCAGAGTTAGGGAGATTACAGACATATAGCAAGTTTTGTTAGTCAGGAGACATAACTGAAGAAAAAAAGATAAAGGAGGGAATATTCCCTGAAGGGTTCTTCCTGGCCTTACTCTAACCCAGACAACTTACACATCCATGGCCGATCTCAGCAACTTCACACCCTGCATACACTTCAGGGGATCCTCACATCACTGGCCTTGAAATATGCAAATATTCACAGGCCAAGGTTCGAAACCAAGGAAAGCAGAAAGTACATATATACCAAAACATATTTTAAACATATACAATTTTTGTCTAAATAAATACAGAAATAAATATTGAGAAAGGTAAAGGGGAAATAAATTCCACTTCTTGTTGGAAGGATTGGCGGTCATCTACAGTCCACTGCAGCTACCTTGCCATTGTTACACTTAATAAAAGTTCCCTTAATATCGTCAAATACCTATTGGATGCTGAAACGCCCCCACTATCTCTCATATCTCTTTTTACAATTGGTTACTTTGAATACAAACACACAGGTCCACCCCCTTCACCCTCAAAAAAGAAGAATAAAAATAAGAATAAGAAGAGCCCTGACCAGAGTGGCTCAGTTGGTTGGGCACTGTCCCGTGCACCAAAAGGTTGTCAGTTCAATTACCAGTCAGAGCACATGTCTGGGCTGTGGGCTTGATCCCCAGTATGGAGCATGCAGGAGGCAGAGAATGGAGATGTTGCTTTCACATCGATGTTTCTCTCTCACCCTCTCCCTTTCTAAAAATCAATTAAAACTTAAAAAAGAATAAGAAGAAAAAAGTAGGAAGACTTCTGCTTGTCCAGATACTTTTAGATGGTCGCCTTCTCACTCCCACTTTTCTTTTTTGCCAATAAAAGAAGTTTTTGATGAAAAAGGCCTACTATTTCAAGTTTGAGAAGAAAAGCTTGTAAAAATTATTATACAGCATTTGACAGTTTTTCCAAAGTGCATTCAAGTACATTATTTCATTTAATATTCAGAAGGTTCTTTGGAATTCTTATTATGCCCATGCCAACAATGAGGAAATGGAAATTGAGGATAAAAGGACAGCCTAGACTAGAACCCAGCATGGCGTGAACCCAGAGCTTCTAACACCCCCACAGGAGCACAGAATTCATTCCATCACCTTGACCTGGGCAAGTTTAGTACATCTACAGAGGGCAGCTTTTCAGATGTGATCATGCACGACTCGATCAATACTTATTCAATGAAGTAAAAATCACTTATATAATTATTTCCAAGGCATAATCTATGTTATGTGAGATTGATTTTGAGAATATGTGTGTCACAGTAGAGAGAATTATAATTGGTGTATTTGTCTAGATAAGATTAAATAAATATAAGAATGTTACCTATATACTAAGTGCGCTTTCAACAAATGTCAGATGTCAGAACAATCCTTTATATTAACAGAATAGTAATAAGAGAAAATGCTAGTCTGAATTTTTTTAAAGAACACAGTGAGTTGATGTTATCAATAATTGCCGTTCAGCAACATTTTAATTTCATAAAAACTGTAAAAACACACAAGATGCATGGTAATAAAACTATCACTTTTGTGTTTTAGATAGTTGTCATAAGAAACCACCCCTGAGTTTTGCTGACTTGTGTCCAAATTTTTATCGTTAACACTGCATTTCCAGAGATATTAAAACAATATGCTTCACTTGGACAAATGTGTGGGAAATATTTCTACTGTACCAATGAAGTAAAAATGTCCTTTAACAAAACATGAGGACTTAAAAAATGATGATTGATCAAAAGATTACCTGTAGACTCAAAAGTCAAAGAGAAATATGAGAAATTAGATGAAATCATAAGAGAAGTCACAATTTATTTTGTTCTTCTATGGCACAGGATGACCAGAGAGAGAATTACCATTTTCTTCGAGTAAGCACACTAAGGCGTGGGTGTCAAAGTAGAGCTTCCTATTCCCAGAGGAGGTAAAATCTCGGTGTTTGTGCTCCAGCTGCAGGCACCCAGCAGAGAGGCTTAGTTCTAGAATGGAAAAGACAATAAAGTTCAAAACAGGACCTAGTGGTAACAAAAGGAACACAGCAACATGAAAAAATCAGGTATACCTCAAAAGCCTGCGTTTTTTCTTTACGACAGCTTTATTGAACCATAATTAACATACTATACAACTCCTTCATTTGAAATATACAATCTGATTGTTTTTATTATGCTTACAGAATTGTGCAAGCATCCTCACAATCAACTTTAGAGTACTGTCATCATCCCCAAAAGAAACCCTACACACAAACTCCCTACACCCCCACTGCCAGGCAAATCCATACTTTGTCTCTATGGATTTGCCTACTCTGGACACTGCAGATGTACACAATAAGATATGTGGTATTCTGTAACTGGTTTCTTTTACCTAGCATGGTGTTTTCAAGATTCATCCACCTTGTAGTATGTGTCAGTACTGTATTTCTTGCCAAATACTATTCCATTGTATTAAATATGCCAATTTTATTTAACCTATTCATTAATTGATGAACATCTGAGCTGTTTCCTTCTTGGCTATTATGAATAATGCTGCTTTGAACACTTGTGTATATGTTTTTCTGTAAACATGTTTTCAATTCTCTTAGGTACATAACTAGGAGTGGAACTGCTGCACCATATAGTAACTTTATTTAAACCTTATGAGGTTATGTCAGACTACTTTCCAAAGTGCCTGTGCCCTTTAACATTCCAATTTTTCCACACCCTCGACACTTGTTATTATCTTTTTATTTTATTTTATTTTATTTTTTTAATCCTCATCCGAGGACATTTTTTCCCCCCATTTTTTGTTCAGATAGAGTGGGAGGGAGAGAGAGGAAGAGAGAGAAAGAAACATCGATGCAAGTGGCTGCCACCCGCATGGGCCGGGGACAAACTGCAACCGAGGTACGCGCCCTTAGAACCGAACCCAGGTCTCTCTGGACCGCAGGCTGATGTTCTAACTGCTGAGCCAAATAGGCCAGGGCTCAACTTCATTTTTTTGAACGATGTGGATGTCCTGTTGTCCCAACACCATTTTCTCCCATAATCTGTCATGTGACTATGGTCAAAAGTCAGTGTACTATAAAGTAAGGGTTTATCTCTGGGTCTTTCATTCTATTCCATCGATCTGTATGTCTGTTTTTAGCCAGTGCTAAAAACTAACTTCCTTCCTTCCTTCCTTCCTTCCTTCCTTCCTTCCTTCCTTCCTTCCTTCCTTCCTTCCTTCCAATTTTTATTAATTTATTTTTGTTACCAGATGTTCCCCCCCCCCCAGATACCCTACTCCCCATCCTGCCTCCTCCCACCCCCAGCATTGTTGTCTATATCCACTGGTTATGCATACATGCATATAAGTTCTTTGGTTCATCTCATCCATCCCCTCACCCGCCTTCTCTGAAGTTTGTCAATCTGAACCATACTCCTTTCTATGTCTCTGGGTCTATTTCATTCATCAGGCCACCTTGTTCATTATATTCCACAAATAAGTGAGATGAATTGGTATTTGTCTCTCTCTGATTGGCTTATTTTGCTTAGCATGATACTCTCGAGGTCCCTCCATGTTGTTTCAAAGGATAAGAGATCTTTCTTTCTTACAGCTGCACAGTATTCCATTGTATATATGTCCCACAGCTTTTCTATCCACTCATCTATCGATGGACACTTGGGCTGTTTCCAGATCTTGGCGATTGTAAATAGTGCTGCTATGAACATAGGGGTACATATATTCTTTCTGATTGGTGTTTCAGGCTTCTTAGGATATATTCCTAGAAGTGGGATCACTGGGTCAAATGGCAATTCAATTTTTAATTTTTTGAGGAAACACCATACTCTTTTCCATAGTGGCTGCACCAGTCTGCATTCCCACCAGCAGTGTACTACAGTCCCCTTTTCTCCACACCCTTGCCAACACTTGTTGTTTGATGATTTGTGGATGGCGGCCATTCTGGCAGGTGTGAGGTGATACCTCATTGTTGTTTTAACTTGAATCTCTCTGATGATTAGTGACACTGAGCATTTCTTCATATGTCTCTTGGCCACTTATATGTCCTGTTTGGAGTAGAGTCTATTTAGGTCCTCTGCCCATTTTTAAATTGGGTTGTCTTCCTTTTGTTGAGTTGTATGAGCACTCTATATATTTTGAAAATTAACCCTTATCTGATGTATCATTGGCAATTATGCTCTTCCATACAGTGGGTTCCCTTTCCATTTTGATGGTTATTTCTTTTACTGTGCAGAAGCTTTTTAGTTTGATATAGTCCCATTTGTTCATCTTTTCCTTTGTTTCTGTTGCCTTAGGTGATGTATCAGTGAAAATTCTGCTGCATATGATGTCTGAAATTTTGTTGTCTACATTTTCTTCTAGGATCTTTATGGATTCACGAGTCACATTTAAGTCTTTTATCCATTTTGAGTTTGTTCTTGTGTATGGTGTAAGTTGATGGTCTAGTTTCTTTTCTTTTTCATGTAGCTGTCCAATTTTCCCAACACCACTTATTAAAGAGACTGTTGTTACTCCATTGAATGCTTTTGACACCTTTGTCAAAATATTAATTGAGCATAATGTCTTGGGTCAATTTCCAAGTTCTCTGCTCTGTTCCACTGATTTATATGCCTGTTCTTGTGCCAGTACCAGGCTGTTTTGATTACCTTTGTAGTATAACCTGATATCTGGTATTGTGATCCCACCTACTTTGTCCTTCTTCTTCAAGATTGCTGTGGCTATTCAGGGTCTTTTTTGGTTTCATATGAACTTTTGAAGTATTTGTTCTAGTTCTGTGAAATATGTCCTTGGTATTTTGAGGGGGGTTGTATTTAATCTATAGATTGCTTTGGGTAGTATGGACATTTTATTTTCTATTTTGTTTTTAGACAGAGAGAAACATCGATGTGAGAGAGACATATTGAGTGTTTGCCACCCATACAACCCCAACCGGGGCTGGGCACAAACTGCAACCGAGGTACGTGCCCTTAGCGGGAACTGAAACCAGGACTCTCTGGTCCGTGGGCCAATGCTCCAACCGCTGAGCCAAACTGGCCAAGGCAGTATGGACATTTTAATGATGTTAATTCTTCCAATCCATGAACCAGGTATATGCTTCCACTTTTTTATATCTTCCTCTATTTCTTTTTTCAATGTCCTGTAGTTTTCTGCAAATATGTTCTTTACTTCTTTGGTTAAGTTTATTCCTAGGTATCTTATTTATTTATTTATTTTTGCCGCAGTGGTAAATGGGATTGTTTTTTTATTTTCTCTTTCTGTGAGTTCACTATTGGTATATAAGAATGCCATAGATTTCTTGATGTTAATTTTGTATCCTGCTACCTTGTCAAATTTGTTCACTAAATGTAGCAGATTTTTGATGGAGTCTTTAGGGTTTTCTATGTATAATATCACGTCATCTGCAAATAATGACAGTTTCACTTTCTCCTTTCCTATCTGGATCCCTTTTATTTTTTCTTCATGTCTGATTGCTACGGCTAAGACTTCTAGTACTATGTTAAATAAGAATGGCAAAAGTGAGCATCACTGTCTTATTCCTGTTCTTAAGGAAAATGCTTTTAGTTTTTGCCCATTGAGTATGATGTTGGCTGTAGGTTTCTCATATATGGCTTTTATTATGTCAAGATATGATCCCTCTATTCCTACATTGCTGAGCATTTTTATCAGAAATGAGTGCTGGATTTTGTCGAATACTTTTTCAATGTCTATTGATATGATCATATGGTTTTTATCTTTCATTTTGTTTATGTGGTGTATCACATTTATTGATTTGCGAATATTGTACCAACCTTGCATCCCTGGGATGAATCACACTTCGTCATGGTGAATAATTTCTTTAATGTATTGCTGGATCCGATTTGCTAGCATTTTGTTCAGGATTTTGGCATCTATATTCATCAGGGATATTGGTTTGTAGTTTTCTTTTTTGTAGTTTTTTTTATCTGGTTTTGGAATGAGAATTATGTTGGCCTCATAACACAAGTTTGGAAGCCTTCCTTCTTCTTGGATTTCTTGGAATAGTTTGAGGAGAATGGGTTTTAGTTCTTCTTTGAATTTCGGTAAAACTCCCCCATGAAGCCGTGTGGGCCTGGGCTTTTGTTTGCTGGGAGAGTCTTGATTACATCTTCAATTTCCTTAGTTGTTATTGGTCTGTTCAAGTTTTCGATCTCTTCGCGGTACAGTTTTGGGAGACTATGTGTTTCTAGAAATTTGTCCATTTCGCTTAGATGTCGAATTTGTTGCCATATAATTGTTCATAGTATTTGTTAATGATCCTTTGTATTTCTGTGGTGTCAGTCGTTACTTCTCCTCTTTCATTTCTGATTTTGTGTATTTGGGTTCTCTCTCTTTGTTTCTTGGTGAGTCTAGCTAAGGGTCCATCAATCTTGTTTATCTTTTCGAAGAACTAGCTCTTTGTTTCATTGGTCTTTTGAATTGTTTTTTTGGTCTCTAATGTCATTTATTTCCGCTCTGATCTTTACTATTTCTTTCCTTCTCCTTGCTCTGGGGTTTTCTTTTTATTTGCTTTCTAGTTAAGTCGTGAGGTTAGATAGTCAATTAGAATTGTTTCTTGAGGTAGGCCAGTAGTGCTATGAACTTCCCTCTCAGAACTGCTTTCACTGCATCCCATAGATTTTATGTTGTTGTGTGTTCAATTTCGCTGGTTTCCAGGAATTTTTAAATTTCTTCCTTGATCTCCCTGGTAACCCATTCACTGTTTAATAACATGATATTTAGCTTCTATGTGTTCAAATGTGTTTGCATGTTCTTGTTTTGATTGATTTCTAGTTTCATGCCATTGTGATCTGAGAAGATGCTTGATATAATTTCAATCTTCTTGAACTTGTAGAGACTTAGTTTGTGTCCTAACATGTGGTCTATCTTTGAGAATGTCCCATATGCACTTGAGAAGAATGTGGATTCTGCAGTTTTGGGGTGTAGTTTTCTGTAGATGTCTATTAAATCCATTTGATCTAGTGCATCATTTAGAGTCTCTGTTTCC